AAAAAGCATCAAAAAGGAGACAAAAAGCGGTCAAAATCACCCAAAAGAAAAACTTGGAAACGAAAAGTTCATCCGGTTCAACAAAAGGGAGACTATTCAATAGTGATTCGCATGGATGCAATGAAACGATGAATTAGACGGAATAAACTGGTCTGTACACAGTATTGGCGATGCTTCAGTGGTCGAGAGTTTGTCGTGTGTGGCAAGTGTTCAAGCAAAATGTGCACTGCTGGCGACCAATCTTGTTTTTTGCTGCGCGTGTGGAAGAAAGCTGTAATGGTGTGTTGTGGGTTGGAGTCTATTGCTCGCAACTGCTAGAACGACAAAAGCAATAAGCCAATATGTAAATATGTACGAATTGACAATAAAATACCGTACAAAGGCATCAATAGTTCGGGATGTTCTTCAGCACCAAGAAGTCGTGGAAAGCACTGTCTGGACGATCATAGACTGCTGTTGTGTATTCTATGTCTCTTTGTCGGTCAGATCCGGAGGTTCTGTAGTCATCGTACTGGCATCTTTTGTGGCTGGAGGAGTTGCCTCTGCTTGTTGAGATGCCTTGTGTGGTGATGATGCTTCTGCTTCTGGACTGTCTGGCTGTTGAGGTGTATAAAGAATTCGCAAGACTTGCCATCGACCTTTGCAGTCAAAAGGTGTTTTGTTGAGTGCTTTTGCTATGTATTTCCAACTGGGGCGAGATCGTTTGTTGAGTTTAAAGGCCGCAAGTTTTTCATCTTCACTGGGTTCCCATCCTCCATTGTCCGGATAGTGTGGTGAATCCGTGAGGAGGTGTGCTGGCTTGGATGGTGGTACTGGTGATGCAGGTGGTAAAGGTGGCGGATTCGGTGGAACTGGTGATGTTTGTGGAGGTGAATTGGGCGAACTGGTGAGAGAAATCGTTGTGATTGGTGGTGTACGCTGTTGTTGGAAGTCTGTATTGTTCTTGTGTTGGTGAGTCGCTTTGGACTTGTGGCGGTGTGGTGAAAACTGATGTGGTGAAGTGGGCGTATGTGAAGGAGAAGGTTCTGGTTTGCACTCCATGAATGGTTTGCCTTTGGCGGGAGGCGGACTGCGGCTGCGTGAGAAAGACGGCTGTGGTTGCAGTGGAGGAGGAGTGTGGAAGGTTTTGAAAAGTAGTAGCAATGGAGGTGGCTGCTTGAAGGTGTGCTAAGAGAAGCCGATGGGCAAATGCCGTGTCCAAAGGGGAAGTCATCGTCGTGGTAGTCGTCGGGAGGCAAATATAGCTCGGCTGGTCGTCAGGGATCGAGCTCAATATTCAAGATAATACAAAATGGCTGCGGGGCAGGTTGCAAATCACAGGAAATCTTGCGACTCTCTTCGAAATGCTTGTGACTCTCTTCAAAAAGGTTGATAACAACCAGGAAAGTTGACATGCTGCAAGTCTGGAAAATTGGAAAATTGGAAAAGTCACCTTAAAGATCATGTTGTCGGCATCAATCTGTACAAGAATGACATATCGGAAGAAAAGGAAGTTGACAACGATGTGTGAGAAAATCAGAGTCAATATCAATATCAATATCAAGCGGGCTGGCTGAGATTGTTTGAGGCTAGGTCGTCATCCAAGATACGGGGTGAAAAATGAACCTCGTGAGCTGAATAGATTGAATTAAATGAAACTGAGCGGTGGCTTTGCATCGCTTTTCCAAGCTATCCCTTCGATTCTGGAATGTTTGGGATGGGCCACCCAGCATTTTCCTGGGGTGTATTTTACAATCCCCTCTCCTCTAAGCAGCAAGTCATTCGCTGCGGATTCGCCACCATGAGTGACTTTCTGGCCGTGTCCATAGGCTTTGATCGTCAGAATGAGACCGCTGCGGTTCTTGGCCATGTTGGAAGCATTGAAGAGGACACGTGCAGCTTCAGCAGCATCATGGGGCTCGTAGTTCGACAATTCGAACGCCTGACAAAAATATCCCACATTGTGAGCATCATGCAGAATAGATCGCACGATTTCTCCTGCTTCAAGTATTGAAATGATGTTGCCCTCCTCGCTCACGTGTGCCGCAAAAATGTGTTTGATAGGTGGTATGTTCAGCGCCTCTCTCCGTGTAGGAGGAAGAATTGGGGCGTCGCCCCTGCTCGCTAATGTGGGGATTGTGAGTAGTAGGAAGGAATAATGTTCTTCTTTGTTGGTGTCATCGCACCATTTTTTGTGGGTGAGAAGTTGTAGGTCGGTAAAGTGGGTGCTGTTGAGATGAGCTGCACTGAGCACTTTGGCTACGTAGGAGAGCATGGGTTCATTGTTGACATCAAGTGCTTGTGCGTAGCGGTTGAGCCATTGGAAGACCTCCAATTGTGCTGGATCAGTGGGTGGTTGGAATGTTGGAGGAGGTAAGTTGTGAGGTCGACGTTGGACTGGAATTGCAGGTATTGGTGCTGGTGGTGGTGGTGGAGGTGTCTGTTGTGTGGAGTGTTTGGGAGTGAAATGTGGGTTGGGCTTGAGTGTAATGCTGGAAGTACGGCGAGGTGGCTCTGGAGTGTGTTTTGCAGTAGCAGCTGTAGTGATGTTTTGGATGGAAGTGTGAGCTTTGTCTTGGGTGATTGCTGGTGATCGTGATGTTGGTCTGTCTGCAGGTTTGGATTGATCTTGAGAACTAGCCACGGATTGTGTGGCGGAGCTTCGACGTCTTGGTAGTGGAGAGCGTGTGGTACGTAGTGATCGAGTGCGGCTCCTGGATCTGGATGTAGCTTGTGATGGTGCAATGGAAGGTACGGCTGGAAAGGCTGAGTAGCGGTGGTGTTCAGGTGTGCGTGGTGGTGAGCGATCTGGGTCGCGCCAAATGCCTCTTGTAGTGCTGAGTGTGGGTGCAATGGATGGTGTTGGCTTGGTAGTGCGTGGTATGTGGTGTGGTGGCTGTGCGGGTGTGTTGATGGTTGCTGAAGCAGGTTGAGTAGTCGCTGGGGAGGTTGTTGAGGTGTAAGGTGGTGGTGGTGGAGTTGGTGTGGTCAACTGCTGTGAAGTGATTGTTGTTGGATCAGGTGGTGGTGCTTGTAGTACATCAGGTGCTTGTAGTGGTGGTGGTTGAAAAGATGTTGTGGCAGGGGTTTGATTTGTCGTGTGCGGTGATGGAGGTAGTTGATGTGGTAGATGTGGTAGATGTGGTTGATGTAGTTGATGAGGTGGTGGTTGAGATTGAGATTGAGACTGAAGTGGCAATGTAAGATGTGTGTGAGCTTGGGATTGTGGTGAATGAGTTGTGAGATGTGGATGTTGTTGCGCAAGTTGGGTAGTGTCGAAGGGAGCCGTAGGTTGCACTGGAAAATGTGCCTGAAGTTGATGTGATTGGATGTATTGAGCGTGAGGGGAGGTGTAATGGGCATTGGGTAGTGATGTGAGGTTGGGTGTTGCGGTGGAGTCGGTGGCAGTGTTGAAAAAGGTTGTGGTGAAGCCTGTGGTGGAAATTGAATCCAATGAGGTTGTGTAGGTTGTGGTTGTGGATGGATGTGTGGCGGCAAAGAATAGGGCCAGGGATACGTCATGGCTGCTCGGCAGGTCAAAGACAGTGAAAATATGTAGGTATGTATGAAAATAAATACATAAATAAATAAAGGTCCGTGAAGTCGTAAAAATTGTGAAGTGTATTGAATAACCGCAATTAAAATTCTGGAAAATGGAATTAAAACTTGGAAGGTTAAAAAGATTTGAAAGGTTAAAAAGATTGGAAAGGTATGAATAGATTTCCCGGGTGAAACTCTTTCAGTTAACTCTGCAGTGGGATTCAGAAAGGATTTCAGTGAACTCTGCAGTAATCTTCACGTGTGCTGGGTGAGACGATCCAAGCTGATTTCGAGCAGGTCAAATTCAGTCTAAGGGACTTCAGAGAAAATTCAGGAAACTTACTCCCTCGGTGAGGAGTGAACAGGTTCTTGCGGTAACGGCGCCCCGTAGGGATCACACAGCTCACCACAGTGGGAAGAAGCTGCGAAGACACACTTGAGAAGGTTGCTCCGTGGAGCGTGATTTCAGGTAGCTTCGCGGTGTGCATTAGCCCTTTAAATCTAGATACTGCAGGAAACAACGTATGAGACAGCGTTGCACTGACTTAGAAATCTCAGCGATTGAACATCAAAATTAGTATTTAAATTGCAGGTACGTCACGGTGATCAGCCGTGATATCCTAGTCAACTGCATGGAGCTTCGTTGGCGACAGCCATGCAGCGACTCTGTCGCCCCCTGCTTCTGTACAGAAAAGCTTGTAGGGTAGATTAGAAAAACTAGGGTAGTGTCCTTGGAAACAGGAGTGGACACACACACACACATCACACACTCTCTCTCTCTCTGGAACACCACTAAATAAAGGTGTTGGGCGGCATTGCTCCTTGACCCTCGGTCCTATCTGGGTGTTTGCAAACACTGCGGTCCCATTAACCTCTTCATGCTCTTCTTCGATTCCTACCCATGTTGCGGGCCAATTCCACAAGTCAAACCAAAGGCTGTGCTTCATGTTTGCACAGCTCTGTCCCTTGTCTTCACCCTCCTCACACTGGCGCAGGGGTGGCTGTCCCTTCTGTGCTGCTGCAATGCCTGCTAGAGCTACCGTCCTCCGCATCGGAAAGGTCGGCCACCAGCTGCTTCTGGTGTGGTTTTTGAGACAAAAGCAACACTTTTTGTTGTGTGCTCCTCTTGTTTCTGCATCCGGTTCTTTCCTTGTCTCTTTTAGTCGGACCATTTGACCTTTCTCCCTGCTCTTTCAATCATTCCTTCTTCCTCTCTCTCCTATGTCTCCATTTTCGGTGCGAAACTATTGTGGTTGCCAATTGGCGTTGCTGCAGCAGTGCTTAGGTCAGTGATTGTTGACGTTTGTCGAAAGGAAGATGCGTGCTTGCTTTACGGTGGGTATGTATGGGGCGGCTCGCAATCCAATCAACCATACCTTTGTGCTTGATATCTGTCCCTTCTTGTTGTTTCTTGTATAACTGTTTATCCTTTGAAAAAGCATTCAACAGCTTGATCAATCCTGGTAGATCTGCCAAGGCACTCGCAAAGCTTCGAGCATCGGGCCGGAGGTCCATGTCTAGCATCTTTCGCAAGTGCCTTGTTGCCTGAGGCATGTACTGCGTTCTGACTGGAGCAACGTTGACTCTTTGTCACAGCATGTTCCAGAAAACAATACAAAAAAAAATGAACAGGTCTAGAGAGAAAATAGAGAAAGCAAAAACATTGTGACAGGCATAAGAATAAGAAAAGGCATCTGGATTAGAGTATGTCGCGCTGCGGACTCTGCTTGCATCCTGCTACCCTTAAGCTTCAGCATACCTAGGGACTCTTGACAACACGTTGGAGACTAAGAGGTTAGTTTAATCCTTCTGGGATGCCTTTTTCCTGTGCTTCCCAGCGTTCTGGTGGGACCTTTCTCCGGATAGGAGCCCCGAACGTAGCGTCCTTGCTCCGTTCGTAGCGATGCCCTTTGTTCCGTTCGTAGCTACTTGCTCGTAGTAGTAAGGCCAGGAGCCCCCATTAAAACACCTATTACTTGAGATACCTTCCAGGTCTCAAGCCGGACTCAGGGTTGGCGCTATTCCCAATTTCGCATGGGGCCAGAGGGGCGCATAGTCATTTGGGTCAGTTGGGCGTGGAAAGGGTGTTCAGTTGGTTACGCGCGTTGAGCCAGACATCAACTTTGGTCGAACCGATCCCTCCTCTCCTTTCGTCCAAACCCAAGTCCTCCGGTCCTTCCTGTTCTCCTTTGTTTCATGCAGCTGGGATGTGGCTATGCAGCTGGGGCCTTATCCAACCCGTTCAGACATCGAAGCAATGGCCACCAAAAACCACGGCCCCAACCCATGTTGAAGGTAACCCAAGCCCCAAGCAACTTGAGCCACAGCCGACGCCACAGCTGAGACGCTACACCAACCCAAGGCAACCAAGAAGCCAAGCCATGTTTTCATGTTACTCAAGGCCTCCAAATTGCAACAAAGGCAACGAGGGTTTCAACAGGTAGCTTGCAGTGGCTTTGGCGACTTCTTTTGCTTGTACAGGCCTGTGGTGTCTATACTTTGCATGGTGAGTTGGCTGGGTTTCGTGCTGGCGGATTCAACGCTCAGGTAGCTAACGAACTGAAAGATAAATGTTGAGTTGGCCCAGCTTGCTTCCGCCTGGGTTGTTGGTTTCTGAAATCAAACCGTGACTATCAAACAGTGATGTCCGTTGAATTTCAAGATCATGGATTGGAAGCCACAAGAAGCCTATACAAGTTTGTTGGGAGATGAGAGTCAAACGCTTCGAGCCTCAATGGGCCTTCCAGCTTTTGCATAAGCTTCAATGATGCAATTCATCTCCAGTCGGCTCGTGGCCTTGTTACAAGAAAGAAGACAACTCCAACTGCCAATTGCACAATCCAGCCTCTCCGTAAGCCTTCTTTTGCCATTCGATCCACCAGCGAGCCGCGGCATGATTCCCGGTCGCACCGAAGGCAAGAATCAACAACTGGCACGTTGCTGCGCAGAGAATCATTGAAACAAAATGCAGGGTTTCAAGTGATTTCAAGACTCACAACACAACAGCCGGTAAAAAGATTCACACAAACATTTTTTCATTTCCGCACGGTGGGGTGGAAATAAAAATGTTTGATGGCCCGACTATTGACAAACGAGCCAAGGTGAGGCGATTGCGTGACGCAGGGCAAAACAGAGCAAATGACGTACATTTCAATTTTTGGTTTTGCAATCACTTGCAGCCACTTGCAGCCACTTGCTCAGGCAGCCACTTGGCAGCCACTTTGCAGCCACTTGTCACTCAAACAAGTAAGTTTCAACACTGTACTTTGAGTTCTTTATGTAAAAAATGCAAGATTTCTTCGTCGCTAGCTCTGCAGAAGTTTAGAATTTATTCTCGGAAAAGTCTTGGATTATTTCATGATTTCTCCGCGCGCAGCTCGGGAAAAAAACGGAATTTCTTCGCAGAACAGCATTGCAGAAATCTTGGTTTTCTTCAGAACTGCATGCGGAGAAATCATGATATTCTCCGGACAGACGTGGCAGTTACTTGCAGCCACTTGGCAGCCACTTGCAGCCATTTGCAAGTGGCTGCAAAATGGAAAATCAAAACGCGCACCTCCTGCGAGCTCAATGAAAACAGGGCAAGAAAAAGACTCAGCGGCGCTCATTGCCATCATCCTTCACTTGTTCAATCATAGTGGTGCACATATTGCAGTTGTCCTATTTTTGAGCTGTTGTTGAGACTGCGACGACCACGGCGACTGCAGTAATTATAGTGGCGTTGTGGCTTTGAAACAAGGATGGCATGTTGGTGTCAGACAGGAGAGGTGATCATTCAAGTCCAGCACCTCCACACCCATCTGCTGCCGGGAAACAGAATGAAAAGCTAAGTGAAGTGTAAACGATTGCCAAGTATCAGACAAGAGGTGGATCTGAAGAACATAAAACGCATTCCGTTGACATGATGCGGACCAAAGTCATATTTATCAGATGCTGCGGGAAGGAAATCACCAGCAAAGTGGCGCCACAGAAGGTGGGGCCAAGGCGGAACAGTGCATGAAAGCAAACAAGGTCTTCACACTCACAAGTAGATTAAGTAGATATGCACGTTTAAGACAGGCGTCCTCCTCGCCCTGCTCCTCCCGGACCTCAACAGCAAAGGCCACAGTGGGCACGCCGGACACCAGTCAGATCCCAGCGGGCGTTCCCTCGGAGTCTCGGACCTCAACAGCAAGCGCCGGAGCGCAGTGGGCAGTCTCGGACCTCAACCGAAAGCGCCCACACAACACACAACCACAAATACAAGACACACAACGCACAACCAACAAATACACAACAACAAACACACGACACGCGATACCACGCCACCACAACCGCAAGCACAACCCAGAACCACCACCACCACCACCCCCGCCGCCGCCGCCGCCACCGCCGCCGCCACGCACAACACGCAACACACAACACGACACGACGCGACACGAAACGACACGACACGACGCGACGCGACACGACACGACACGACACGACACGACACAACCCACAACAACTATATGTTTACCTGTGTGTGGGGGGGGTGATTTTGCGTGGCAGGTGGTCACAGAGTCGCGCGTTGGGTAGAATGCCAGCTGTAGACCCTGGCGACACCCGACGCGAACTCCTCAACACTAAAACAACAACCACAAGCCCGAGGATGCAAAACCCACCACCATGGCAAACATGCTCCTCACCATGTCATGAAAGCAACTGATTGACATGTCATGGCGGGGATCACTCGAAGTAAAGTATTTCGACTGAAGGCCCCTCAAACAACCAAGATAGGTAGGCCGACGCCCGCCAAGTTGCTGACAGCAAGAATTGGAATTTGAACGAATAGCCTGCAATGTCCAACAGCAGCTAAGTAGTAGCTTTAAGCCTAGGCCTAAGCCAACCCTTGCTGTTAGCACGCTACCAGGTAGATCATGGCAGGGTTGGCGGGCGGAAGTTCAGACTTGTTTACGCCGTCCCTCGTGCGCAGATCACAAAAAGCTTGAACGAGCAATCATTGGTTTTCCTCTCAAGCAAAGGTTGGCTGTGAAATGTCTCGTCACTTGGAGTGGTCGCAAGATCCATCCTGACGCCAACTCATTCCTGTGCTTCGAAGTGCATCAAGGCCTCCAAAATACTCTGACCAACTGGTCCTCACACAGATGCTACCACCAACCTCCACCCAGAAGCTATTCCAAACAAGCCCGGGAGGTTCCCCGAAGCAGTGATGAAGAGGTGCGACTTCAGAGTGGTGAAGGGTCGCGTGATAGTGGTTGCTGGCTTGGTGAAGTGCAGGGCAAGGCTGTGACTTGGCCTGCGACCTGTGGGCTGGTGAAGCGATGAAATCGTTACTTGTTGCTATGGGGGCTCTCTCCTTTCTGTTCCTTCAGGCTTCCGCAGCCTCTACAGAGCACTCTCGATTCTCTGATTCCGTTCCACTATGACAATGGCTTGCGAAGCACTGAATATCATCCTCCGCCAACCTTCCGCAGTCTCAACAATGCCTTCTTAGACTCCTTTTTCCACTGGCTTTCTGATGATGACCCCCTCATTCTCCCCAACCCTTCAGCAAGCATTCTGAATCCTCCTCGATGTCAGGAATCTCCCAAACTCCTATCACCAGCATGCCACATAGCACAAACCCGCAGCTGTCCCGCAGGCGTCACTTTACCACACTACCATTTTGTCTCCTGACTGCTCTCTTACTTGCACCCACGATCACTCACGCCAACTGCAAGTGGCTGTAACTTGGAAATTTCTCTTCAAAATATCCTTTGCTTACAAGCAAAAATAAAACTCAGACTTCACAAAGAAGGCCCCAGCACCGCAATTCAAAAACATGTGGAGTTCAAATGATTAAGCCCCAAAAAAGCAAACAGGGCTAGCTGGGCTACCTTTCGCAATCCACTTTTTCGGCCTTGTAGGTCTTCCTACTTGGCACCAGGTCGTTGAGAAGCATCTCCCAGGCCCAACCCCTGCATATGTTCAGGCGCCGAATTACACGATGAGGCGAAGGCCATGTTTGTGATTCCACAAAACCAAGACTCGAGCTTGGCACGCTTGGCATATTCTTGGCGTTGAATCAACAGAGGATAACGCACTTCTTGACGAGCGCGCTGTGCAAAGACCTGAAGTAGAACTCTCTGATAGCTCGCACTGAATACAAGTCAGTGGTCTCGCCTTAAAGAATGGATGTCTTGTCTCCACTCTACCGCGAGAGAAGCAAGAATCCCATAGAATCCCAGAAGAAACATGCATGTACTAATTAAAAGTGCTCTACACTGGGTATCTCTCTCTTCATGCCCTACATGTCTCTTTTTTTGACTCGCAAAATCCTCCAAGAATCCAAAAACCCGCCACCCGCGCCTGAATCACCCGGTCAAATTGCTCCACCTCTGGCGCTGTCCCTCCAATCAACATTCTCCGCAGCATCTGCTCTCTCTGCGTGGGCCTTGCGACCTGGGACGTCCGTTCAGTCGGAGAGTGGCTACCTACCTCCGCCAGCATCTGGCGTCGCGGCCCGAGTCACGAAGGTGCAGTGCACAAGTGCACAAAGCAGAACGCATTCGTCATCGTATCGTCTGGTGGGAAATGAAAATAACTATATAGCGCCACCTGTCTGTTTTTCTGTCTGTTTTCTTTCGCTAAACGCACGTTCTGCCTTTCCAGGTATCGCCATGGAAGGTCTCTTCTTCATCTCCTTTTGCAGAGTTTTCCAGGATCGCACCTTCGCGTTGAGAACCCAAAAGCGACCGAAGCCAACACGTGAGAACATGATGAACTGAGCGACCGGAGCAAATGAGTCTTCCATTAGGGGGATAAATATAATATGGTTTAACTAAAGAAATTGAACTGAGAAGTGACTCGCGGCGAAGAGAGTCGCTTCTTGATCCACTTCGTGACTCTCTTTTGAAACTCCAGGGCACCAGAAATGGATGCTTGCCATAGCCTCGTCCGTGCCTAAGCGTTTTAACGAGCGTGTTGTGGAACGAACATCTCCAAACGAAGTCAATCATGCGAGGGGTCGAGGGGTTCTTAGATTCTTACAGGAAGTCTAAGCTCTACGTCCAAGCTTAGTAGTAGCTTCCTGGATCTCCTACTTGCACCTTCCTACTATATCTACATATACCTACTAGCTACTTGGGATCGCTGTCCCCTCTTGACAACTTGTCAAAGCCACTCACATGTCAAATGCAAAGCTCCCCGCCAAAATCTCGGCTTTTGAATCATGCCGGTGGCGCGGTACCTGGGTCGGATGTCTCTGCATGGATGTGGTTGAAGGTGGAAGGCGGCGGACTGAGCTTGGCACGGCTGAACCCTCTCAACCTCGAAGATCGAACCAAATGGTTGGAAAAGTCTTTCCAAGGAAAATCCAACCTGATGTTACCATAATACATCATGATACTACGATACTAGTACCACAGAAATGGGACGTGAAGCATACAGAAACACACCGAAGGGGTTGAAGTCAAGTGGACTTCCTCTGAAAGTGCTTTGCCCAGGCCCTCTAAGGCGGAGGCGAAGCGGGAGATTGGTGCCTTGAGTTCTTGGCGTGTAAGGAACGATGTGAACGCTTGAGGAACAAGAATGTTCTTGGATCCTTTTTCATTCTTCTCTGTCTTTTTCTGTCCTCTGTCTTTTCTCATCCTTCTTTGTTGACCTTTATACCTTTCTTTGTTCCTTGATTTCTTCCTCTTTTCTTTGGTTTTTGAGCTGCAACAAATAGCCGCGCGCACCTCCTTTGGGATTTTTACGCTTCCAGGAAACACTGGTTGCCTCGGCTGTTCTGAGCACTTGCTCGACACCTGTTGTTCTTCTATAGTCGAAGATACTTTCCAAAAACAAAAAACGGAAATGGCACAAACATGGCACCATAGTCTATTCAAAGTCAAGAAAATTGCCAAACAGATTGCCACGCGCCATTGCAACTGGTTTCTTGTCACGCATGTTCACAGTTCAAGTTTACAACTACCCTTTATGCTGCGCACGGAAAACGAGTCTCTCAGAACGCCTTTGTTGAAAGATTGACAAAGCAACCAAGAATGGATAGCATTCAAAGAAGTACACGGAGAAATGTGTGCTGCTGAGCATTGAAAACATGAAACAGCTCAGGACATCAATCAAGCTGCCATCGAGCTCAAACGAAACGAAAATGCTCGGCTTTTTACTTCAAATCCGTCAACCGCTTCCCAGTCAAGAGGCAACTCAGAACTTTTTGAGCTCTGTGAGTTCTTCTGAAGCATCGGCGGAGGTGCCGTAGCCGCAAGGCCAGATGCCCAAAGAGGAACGAGTGCCTGCAGTGCCTCACTGAATTCCTAAAACAAAGAAAAGGTGCGCTTTGCTGGATGTGATTTTCTAGATGCTTTTCGTGCGCTGAAACATGTGGCTGACTCCTTGCTGACGAGCTACGACCGCACAGGCAACGGCCTTCCACCTATTCGGAGCCGGACGAGAACCAACAAGGACGAACATCAAAACGCATAAGAGAACAAGTCATAGGAGCGCCCCTAGCAGCTTCTTGTTCC